GCCAAGAGAATTGCTTAAGCCCAAGAGTTAGAGGTTGCTAAGAGCTATGGCACAATGGCACTCTACCCAGGGTGAGATAGTGAGACTACCTCAAAAAAAAAAAAAGAATTATCTTCAGGTAAGAAAGCCAGATAGGCTCGGTGACTGTGGCTCAAGTGGCTAAGGCACCAGCCACATACATCTAAGGTGGCGGGTTCGAATCCAGCCCAGCCTGCCAAAACAACGACGACGGCTGCAACCAAAAAATAGCCAGGCGTGTGGTGGGCGCCTGTATTCCCAGCTACTTGGGAGGCTGAGGCAGGAGTTGTTGGAGGTTGCTGTGAGCTGTGATGCCACGGCACTCTACCCAGGAGGATAGCTTGAGGCTCTGTCTCAAAAAAAAAAAAGAAAGCCAAGATACATAGAGAAGTGATTTGTCCAGAGTATATAGTTGGTGGAAGAACGAGATTCAAACCTTCATTTAGTTCAGAAGGAGTCTGTAGGAAATAAACTTAAGGACCTCTTATTAGTGCATCTAACTCCTCCCTCTAGGCAATTACCCTGCTATTCCTCCACACCAGCACATCAGACTTGCTGTTAATTGTGAGCTTTTCACATAGTGTCAGCGCCTACCAGCCTGCCACAGCTGTGACAGCTGAGCCCAGCAACACTCACCGGATTGGCGATGATGCAGATCATTGCTTCAGGGCAATGCTGGGCACAGGCAGCAGTCAGAGTGGCCACAATTGTGGCATTGGTGTTGAACAGGTCATCCCGAGTCATGCCTAGAAATGATCCAATGCAAGATACTCACAAAGAACGAACACAATGAATTTCCAACATGTGCCAAGTGCTGTGTGCGTTAGCTATTATAAGAAATTCAACCACTAGCAAGACAGCCCCTGTTTTAAGTAAATCTCTCTTGTAGAGAAAAGAGTTCAGTGTGACAAGTGCCAGAGTAAAGGTCTGTGGGGTGTAGTGGGGGAGGGGAGTAAGGGAGAGTGATCTCTGAGAAGGATTGCCCAGGATTAATAACAATGCCCAAGGAGGCTGGGTGCAGTGGCTCACACTTGTAATCCTAGCACTCTGGAAAGCTGAGGCAGGTGGATTGCCTGAGCTCACAGGCTTGAGACCATCCTGAGCCAGAACAAGGCCTTGTCTCTAAAAATAGCCGGGCATTGTGGCAAGCGCCTGTAGTCCCAGCTACTCGGGAGGCTGAGGCAAGAGAACAGCCTGAGCCCAAGAGTTTGAGGCTGCTGTGAGCTATGA